GAGAAAATGGTATAAAACTTTTATACAAAATGTATTTAATGCTTGACAAAACAGCATACCTGATAAAAACATTAAAACTGTCTTTACAGTGTGTTTTCGCCCTTCTTGTCTTTTCTGTTAAATGAATGTAAAGTGCAACGCAATTAGCATGTGCTTCAAGTGCATCGATCGACAGAAACCTGATCAATCTTAGTGAAAATACAGAAATAATAAAATATACATATAAAATAATGTCACAAATAAGATTTAAACAGAGTATAAAAGTGTTTTTTAAAGCAAAGATGAAATTAGATTAATCAGGGCTCATTAGAAACCCACCTCTCCCATGCAGAGAGGAGGTGCAAAGACAGGACATTAAGACTGACGCTGCTGTCAGAAATTTAAAGGGGAAGGTGCACACACAGACAGGCATATCAGGTATACATCGTGAACATTTGTGTAATTCTACATATGAAATTAACATTACTTTCCATACCTGTTACATAAGTTGACCAATGTGCTTACAATCTCTAAATAAAAATTACACGGTATTAACTTTCAGACAAACAATGACCAACAACAAATGTTATAAAAAAAGCCTCTTGCTAATTAGTCTGCAGAACCAAATGCTAATTCAAGTAAATGCACTTTAAATTTTCATTTAAAATAACCTAATGACGGAGCCAGTCTGAGATGTAGAGGTAGCTTATTCCAGCGCTTCGGAGCTGCTACAGCAAATGCCTGTTCACCACTCAAGTTTTAATCTAGTCCTTGGAATGTCTAGGATCACTTGATTTTCTGATCTCAGAGACCTAGGTGGTTTGTATATAGTATATACGAAGGAGATCCACTAAATATGGTGGGACCAAATTGTGCAATGCTTTATATACAACAATCAATAGTTTAAAGGGTTATTTTAAAGATCATTATTTTGTGTGTTTGGTGTAACCGAACATGTTGACATGTTTAATGTTCAAAAAACACATTATTTTCAAATACTGTACATTATTTTTATTTGTAAATGCTACTGCTTATGTTAGCTTTTAATATACAGTTTTATCCTGATTAAAGCCTTAATACAGTATGGCAAGTGCACGCGCCTCCATGTTTAATGCTTCTCATAACACTCCTGCCACCCGAGCCACAAACTCTTCTCACTGCTACTTCAGGTAGACGCAGTGTTGGGGAGTAACTAGTTACATGTAACGGAATTACGTAATTTAATTACAAAATAAAAGTATTTGTAATCAGTTACAGTTACTAACAAAAAATGTGTAATTAAATTACAGTTACTTATGAAAATGTTAAGGATTACAAAGGGGGTTACATATGATTTTTTTCCACACATACTCCCACATACAGATTTAATTGAGTTGCAGTGACTACTCTAAAATATGAAACACCAATGTTTCAGAAGTTTATAACATGCTTATGTATATGCTTTATTTTTTTAAGATTAACTGTTTTTTCTAAGGCATTGTTAGATTCCAGTGTTTCCTGTCATAGCTATGCAAAGATTTGATTTCAAAAACAGTATCATAGCTATTAAACTATTTCTTGTTATGATTTTAAATATGCATTTAACCTCAGAATGATTTTAAAGGGTTAGTTCACACAAAAATGAAAATTAGCCCATAAATTACTCACCCTCAAGTAATCCTAGGTGTATATAACTTGCAGATGAATCCAGTTGGAGTTATATTAAAAAATGTCTTTGATCTTTCAAGCTGTTTAATGGCAGTCAGCGGGTGTTGCAGTGCATCAGTCCAAAAGAAGTTAAATAAAAAGCGCCCATCCATAAAAAATGTGTCTCACACGGCTCGGGGGGGTGATGAACAAAGGCCTCCTGTAGCGAATCGATGCGTTTTTGTAAGAAAAATATCCATATTCAAAATGTAATAATAATTTTAATGTAGCTTGCGCCAACAGTTGTACACGGTATAAATAAATAAATCAATCGGTTCACTCCCAGCAGAATCGATATTTTAACCTTTCTGTTCCAGCGTTCCTCTGTATTATTACTGTTCCGAAACCGATTCGGGTAGAAGAAATACCGGTTAATAACGTTATTTTTTTTAAACAATTTTCTTTGCCTATAATAATAATAATAATAATTATTATTATTATTATTATTATTATAAAGTACAGCGTTTTCTTTTCTAAAAAAACAGGAAGAGATCTGGTAAGGTTAGCCTATATATAACCTGCTGCGCTTAGTCACAGCCAATACAGAATCATCTTTTCTAGATTTTGGCCAAATGTAGGCTTCTAAACAAAATAAAAAATATATCAACACTTTAAAGACATTAAAGTATTTTTAAGATATGTAAAAATGTTTGCTACATTGTTAAAAAAAATGCTACTTGTATAAGATTGCGTTTTTTTTTACATCATGCAAAAACAAAAAAAGAAAGAAAAGAAAATAGAAGTTGCATATATAGGCTCACGTCTCATTTTATTTTTAGCCCTATTACATTCAGAAATAATGTCGGCTAAAATGCCAGTAGGCTAAAGCAAAATGTTTACAAACATTATAGACACAGTTATTAGTTTCTCTGCACAACAAATCCTCTAAAGTTAAAGCTATAAAAACGTCATTCCAAAAACAAATTAATTTAAGGTGAAACCCATGCCTGCCTCTCTCATGCGGCACAAATCCAAATGTTTACATATTCGTGATGTATGCAGATACTAAAATATTATTTATTATAGGCTAGGCTTTGTACTTTCATGTGGTAAAACATCATCTTTACATTGGCTATATTAGCTCAGTGAGGCGCTGGTCAGCTGAACGCAACAGATTCAGACAGTTCAGAACTTTAACATTTGATTTCGCTTCTGCTTCTGTTTCTGTTCCTGTCAACATTTCATTCGTTTCCGGTTTTCGATTTTGTTCCTTGAACCGGTTCAGAGCCCTGGTTGAAATCATAAAAAATAGAAATACATGTAGATATTTGTAACCTGGAATTAGTCAAGTAGTTCACCTGTTTCGAGTTTTCGGGTTTTTCGAGTCATTCGTTCATCCCGTGACAGACTCATAAGTTTAACCAATGCAGTCTGAGCCGGAAAGAGAATTGATTAGTTCATCTCTCGAGTATTTGGGTTTTTCGAGTCGTTCGTTCATCACGTGACAGACCCATAAGCGTCTGTTTCACATTTTCCCTGTGTGTTAACGTCAGTAATTATGGCTGTCGAATGTCTGACTTGACTCTTGTTCATGTATTTTGCCCCCACCCCAAAACATATGATTCAACTATCAATCGACTATCAGCAAGATTAGAAAATTCCAATTCGACTATGAAAACCCTTAGTTGGGGACACCCCTAAAAGACTGTAATTCCCTGGAATTTGGGCTGCTGTCATTTAAAAGATCATAAATAAAATAGTCGACCATGAGGTTTCTAATAAACATTGTGTTGTGTGAAATTATTTAGTCTTCTCCTCACTGATTTAGCATTTTTCTGCACTCTCTTCCGCTATCGTGGCGCAGTCCGACGACATGACAAAGAAAGCTGATCCTGATTGGTCCTCGTCTGTGCATTCGAAGTGCTGAAAGGATTAACGACTGCATTAGCATCCATACCCACAACCAGGCTGTAGTCAACAAATTCTATTTTGAGTCGTCTTTTCCCTGTTTTTTTGTGTTTACCGATATATTTGAAATATTAAAGGGGTCATATGATGTGATTTCAATTTTTCCTTTCTCTTTGGAGTGTTACAAGCTCTTGGTGCATAAAGAAGATCTGTAAAGTTGCAAAGA